TCAAATTTCCTTATCTTTATAATAAAATCACATCAAATCAAATCAAAAAATATTTCGTTTTGAATCAATTTTAAAATTAATTATATTAATTTAGCTACATAAGCCAAGATACGAGTTATAGTAGGTATACATGCATAATAGTTGGCAATAGTACCTTCTTCATTTTCAAAGTCGGTTATAACCAAAGGAAATTCAAGTTAGAGGTATTTTAAAACAATCACAGTTCGGAATGATTTTAATTTCTTTGGCAATCAATATTTAATCTAAAATCCTATTTCGTACCTGTTTGAAATATGCTATTTTACTTTTGTACGTACCTACATAAAGTATTAATTGAAAATAATTTAATAAAAATATAAATTAATATAAAAATAAACATATAATATATGATTGAATCATCGGTAACTTAAAAACAAATCCAAAATTAAGTAATTATTCAATAATCACTCGATTGTAAAATCGATTAGATTGACACGAGAATCGATTTAGTTAAAAATTTAAGACTGAACTAAAGAGGGCCATCGTTTTTTAGCTTAACAGATAGCGCTAAAATAGCAGAAGGTCTGTTGGTCCAATAACTGTAGATGTCAATAATTTATAGTCCAATTGTTTGACCCAAGCTAATCAAATCCTCTGTTGCACAAATACTTTTGATTAGCGCCATCTGTTGAATAAAAAAAGCAGTAGCCCACATTGGATGAACAAGATATAATCTTGTAATAATTATTATTACAAGTTGTGATTATGTAATTTCTATAATAGTTATATAATTATATAATAAAGTTATATAATAATCTAACCTAACAGACCGTTTTCTTTGGGCTGCAGTAATTCTTCTACAAACTCCTTCACCATTACCTTCAATTTCTCGTCCATTGATTCTTGTTCACTGTAGATAAAATTATATACTTAGATTAAGATCTACAAAATAATAAAATCATCTAAACGTTTTAAATAAAGTCACATTAATTACTGGAAAGGTCGCAAAAATTTTACTGATTTTCAAGCAAGTGATTTCAGGTTCGATTCCTAGATCGAGTAAAGTCAAAGTATGTGATACTATGGAAAACACTTCACAGAATTTATCACAATTGACGGAAAGTGGATACACAATATATTAATCTTCGATATATGTAAGTTTACTCGGAATAATCGAATCGAAATCTGAACAATAATCGAATTGAAATCGGACCTAAGTATTTCGTCGCAAGGACAAAAACTAGGGATGCTATTATCCTTACAAATATTATAAATCGGAAAGTGAGTTTGTTTGTTTGTTCCGCTTTCACGCCATAACTACTAAACCGATTGCTTTGAATTTTTGCAGATGTATAGTTAGAAGTCCGGATTAAATAATAGGGTACTTTTTATCCCGGTAAAATTTGATATTCCCGAGGGAAAACAAAACTATTGGTATAGATGGCGCTGTGTGTATTGGTATATATCACATTGGCTTTTTATCCTATTGTGACGCGAGCGAAGCCGCGGGTAAAAGCTAGTACATTATAATTTATATGAACTCTGCTTACCTTCTAGTAGGTGCTTCACAAACAAGTTCGGAGTAGTACTTGAGCTTGGGTTCAGTGCCACTAGTCCGGAATGTGACGCTCAGTCCGTTACTGCAGCGGAACATTATCATCTCGCCCGAAGTGTAGTCTTGGTCTAAACCCGTGCCTAGGACATCTACAGGTGAAAATAAATTATTTATTTATGTATTGGAAAATGAATAGCTACACATGGTACACAAATAGTGGTAAAATAACATCAGACAGCCAATTAAAGGTTTTCAGCTTAACGGATCTGGACTTGGCGGCACGGCAGTGCCCATTCATCATCATCATTAGTCAGCCTCACCTGTTAATTGAGCTGATTGTAAACCGACACATGCGTACTGCCTTCAGACCGGGTCCGCTCAAACTGTTGTGGTTCTTTCCTCAAAAGGCCACTACAGAAAGAACTTGCACGGTTCTCACACATAATCTTTTATACACATTTGTCTGGACTTTAAAATAGACAGACCTCTGAGTTTGTTTCGGCATTTCTTCTCAGAGTAGTCAGTTAGGAAATGTCGACCTCATCGTTCGCTTGATAAAATTGACGTGTAAAAGTGCTGCCTTGTAGCCTATTTGCAGAAATAAATTCACTTGTTTCACATTAAAGATGGAAGATTGCTACTAGAAAAAGTTGATTGAATAAACAGTGGTTCTGACAGACAGATTGGTGCAATGTTGTCTTGCACCTGGTTTTGTACCCTTCAACGGCCAAGTCACACAACATTAACTATAATAATAAAGAAATCGCAGTCAGGGAGGATATTATAAAAAATTATAATTAATACACTTCTTCCTTTCTTCTATGATAAGAGAGATAATTATAAAGTAGGTACTGTAAGTTTATAGCATAGATACTCACTCAGGTGCCCTTCACCATTGGCCTTCTCGGGTATCTTCACTCCGGCCACGAAGTCGTTCACGAACACAATCTCGCAATCTCCAACTTTCTTAGGATACTAGAAATAAAACATATTTTGAATCAAAATGCAAAATATTAGTTTTAGCGCAATAACTGAGGCGACTTTAATAAATATTTATATATAGCTATATATATAGTTTCAAATAGGGTAAATGCCTAATTTTTATTTTAATGTTCGTCTGGTAAATTATTTTAAATCATTAGACACGTATTTTTTATTTTCTTACGGAAACGAATACTTTCGACGATATATTGATTTGAAATATCGCGTGACGTCACTTCTATGTACATTTTATATGTCGAAATGACGTTTTTACTCCCACTCCTAAACTTTGATCCGTTTTATCTAAGTAATGTTTTATTTATTATTTATTTATTTATTTATTTATCTATTTATGCACAACACACAGACAGTACACAGGAGAACATATATAAATATTTTGGAGGTACATAGGAACTACATATTCCCGAAGGAATCTCTTCCTGCAGTCCTTCGACAGGAAAAACGGTAAAAAAAGAGACACTGTGCGTAACACGACATGAAAAGTGTTAAATAAATAGATCACAATAAAATACATAGACCTATACATACATATGATAGATACACATCAAATAATACACATATTAGAGTAT